TTTTCACATTTCTTCAATTTGGAGATATTACAAAGGAGAAAGAAGAATGTCCAGCAAACCACTTTGAGATGAGAGTCAAAGAACAGATTCTGCTCAGAACAATTCACAAGCATCCCCACTTTAGGACTAAGAGCCAAAAAGGGCATCTGCAGTAACTCCAGAGTCCTGATGAATATTGGATAGGACGAACAAAGGCCTTTATTCTGAGGAGGCTTTGTTCTCTTCCTCCACATCGATGCCTTCATCCTCCGCTGTGACAGTGAGTCAGAGTCGTCCTGGACAAAGGCCACGCTGTGGCCACTCTCTGGCTTTAAGCCCCCAGAAACGCCTGTAAAGGGAACCATTTAAGGTCTTAATACCAGTTTTTACCCGGTGGAATGATTTAAATTATTATTCAAGAATCTGCTGTTAGTTTCCAGTAACCAGGCTTTCCCACCAGTAGTTGGTTGGCTCACTGAAGATCACAGAAGTAGTGACACTGGGCATTTGTTGTTGTTTCTGTGATGCTTATTGGGACGAACTGGCCAATCAGCAGTCAGCATTCCTCTGTCGTTCGACCCAGCCCCCTTGGATCGAAGTAGGTGCTAAAGCTGTACCTGTCAGGAGGTGTTTCTCACTAAAGCAGTGGTCCCCAACCCCCGGGGCTCTGATCTGGACTCTGATCTGGGCTCTGTGATCCCAATGTCTGCCCAGACTAATCTGCAACACGTTTCATTTGATGAATAATTCAGGAATCGTTGGATCACTTAAGCTGAGCGTTTCCTGTTGCCTTCAGAATAAGAGCAGAAACTTGCAGTGGTCCAGTGGTTAGCCTGACATGCTGGACCAGCAGTGAATTTAAGATGGAAACGATGAGTAGAAAGTGATCAGCTTTGATATTGTGCTGATGTCTGAGCAGTTTTTGATCTAGTTTTTGATCTACCACACATCCGGGTATGTTATTAGCTGGCCTTAGACTGTAACAGAGTTTTGTTCTGATGAGGTTCCCACGTTGCCTTTTTCTGAAATGGCCCTCATGTGTCAAAATAAAGCAAAGTCACGATTAGAAAATTCACAGATTTCTGACTCCAGTCCAGTCAGGCATCGTCCAATCGGCTTTCTCAGGTTTCCCCCTGGGACCGTCTCTCCTGCTGTGCTAACGCCGTTTTGTTGTTGTTATTGAGGTCAGTTAATGTGGGGTTTTACTAATTTGTTGAGTTATTCATGTGATTTTTTTTTTCTTCTCTTCCTCAGGTCAGTGCAGCCTTCCAGAGGAAAGTCCAGAGTAAGATCAAAGACCTCCTCCAGCAGACGGAGGAGGGCCTGAAGACGGCCGACCCCCATGATTTCTCCACCTACACTGGCTGGACAGGTCTGTCCCCGTCTCCACGGGCCAGGAACCCGCTCTCTGTCATCATTCTGTAGCTCCTCCACCCTCCTCTGATCAGATTCTGGAGCTGAGTGAGCAGAAGTAGTTAGATTCCCAGGCTTTCAAGCAGAAACGCAGCCTCTCTCTATGGACTGACTGCCTCTGCTGGCGTTATGGAGTCAGACCAGAACCCAGGCCTTATGTTTCTGTTTGAAGCCATAACAAGGGAGCTCAGGACCCCTTTGTCCCAGGTCTGATGGGTTTTTGCCCTCCCGTTTCCAGGCATCGCCCTCCTGTACCTGCAGCTGCACCGGGGGTCCCAGGAGGCCTCCCACCTGCACCGGGCGCTGGACTACGTGAAGCGGGCCATGAGGATCCTGAACGGACGCAAAGTGACCTTCCTGTGCGGGGACGCGGGGCCGCTGGCCGTGGGGGCCGTGGTCCACCACAAGCTGAACAACACGGCCGACAGCTCCGAGTGTCTGACCAGGTGCTGCCCCTCCTCAGTCCCGGGTCCAGTACCGGAGCAGGCCCCACACGGGCCCACGCACCCCCAGCCCCTTAAGATCAAACTGCTCAGTGCCACTTAACAGCATGAAATACTGTAACTGCGGTCAGCTTTTGGGACCGGTTCTGGACCCTGTTTAGGGTGTTTCTCAGAGCTTTGACTCAGATGCTGCTGGATGGGTTGCTCCTCAGATCTGGAGGTTTCCTTTAGCTGCAGCAGCTCGTGGTTCTGGATGCAGAGTGCGGTTTGTGCTGTTTTGATGCTGGCTGGCTAAGGATGCTGGGAATGATCAGTAACGTGTTCCTACCAGCTGCTGGTGGAACCAAACTAGCACAGATTTTCTGACAGATTAATGACTGTTGTTCTCGATCATCCTCCATGTCGTCTAACAGTGAGACGCTCCATTTACTTTTATGTTTCTGCATTTAGCAGATGCTCTTATCCAAAGTACACACAATGTTCCAGTTATCAATAGTCTGACAATCAGCTCTCTGGAGGAGGAGTTAGGATAGGAGCTGCTCTGTGGGGGGGGTCTGGAGGAGGAGTTAGGATAGGAGACAGACAGGGAGCTGCTTTAGCTCCTTCCTCCATCTTGGAGCAGCAGCTGAAAACAGTCTGATCGTCTTAATGTGGACTGAGGACCGGAGGGACCAGCTGGGACCTCTGAGAGTGTTCAGGGAGCTGGGAGCCGGACCCTGAAGACCTCTGTAGGCACCAGGGACCTGGGTTTGATGCAGGCAGCCAGGGGTTACCGGGGGTAACCAGGGAAACTCAATGAACAGAGGGGTGATGAGAGACTTTTTGGGCTTATTGAAACCCACCCCCCCACCCGCCCCCACCCCCCCCCCCAGCCCTCACCAGCCCTGTGCTTCTCCCCCAGGCTTCTGCAGCTGCAGCGCTCGGTCCTGAGTCCGGACAGCGAGGTGCCAGACGAGCTGCTGTACGGCCGGGCCGGCTACCTCTACGCCCTGCTCTACGTCAACAAGGAGATGGGGGCCGACGTAGTGGATGAGAGCACCATAACGAAGGTGAGCCGCACTCACTAACTCACAGGCTGTTTCCTCTGACTGTTCCCCCAGGTTTCACATTTTTGATCACACCATATAAACAATTTATCCTAGTCTAAACGTTTTTGGGGCACTAGTGGCTTTTAGTTTAATTTAAAACATGGAATGAGGCAGAGAAGGCTCGGAAGGGGGGGGGGGGGGGGGTCTCTCCACAGCAGCACCCGCTGAGCCCGGCTCTGATGAGTTTCAAACACTCTCTCTTTCTGTGATAAATCATGCTGGATCTGGTTTATCCATGAATTTCTTAGCTTTGTGAAGACTTTGCTGAGCAGACGTCTTTCCGTCTACCAGAGCTCACGACACAAGCCTGGAGCTGACTGCTGCCACTGATAACAAAAGAAATTTGTTTTCAGGAACAAAACAACCCCATAATCTGCCGAAGCGGATAGCAGTGCATTCCATTTAAAAAGTCTAACAGAAAGTTTCCTGTGGTTACAATAGATCACATGCTAAAGGTTGTTAGCCAGTGCTAACTGGGTCTAATGGAGATCTGGATGTTTGCGCCCTTAAAGGATGAAAGACTGCTCCATGCACCATCTGTTAGACACCCTGGCAGTCTGTGACCCGGTCACAGAGGACAGATATTAAGAAATAATCCCTCTGTATGCTGTTTTTGAAAGTGAATTTAAGCATGCAAACGCCATGTGCAGAAGCTGTGGGCCAGCTGTCGTGGGTGGGGGACTGGTGCGTACGGCAGAGAGACGGCAGCCGTGGGTTCAGATGCTTGTCTCATTAGGACTAATGTCAGAGGACTGGAGGCCTTAAAACGTCTGAGGCAGCCTTGTGCTGGCTGCCTGTCCCCGGCTCACTCAGCCAGCAGCACGCCGTCTGCTGCACCAGGCAGAAGCCTCTTCCACCGCCTCACACACATCCTTCTGTTGTCCTTCCTCTTGTCAAGTATTTCTGTTTTTATTCTCTCTTATGCTCGTGTCGCACTTCTGAGCTCTGACTCAAAATGCTCCCATGAGAAAAGTTTGAGGCGTCCCTCCTCCTCCGGTTTGTGATGAAGCTTTGGAAGTTTGTGTATTTGTTTTTCTAACAGCCAAATGTCGGCTGTCACAGCTCGACTGAAAATGTGAGAACACCGGGAGAGCGCGGCCGTGCGTTTCCCAGAGAATGCTGACTCAGCTGTCAGCACTTCTGCTGCCTTCAGCTCTTTCCCCGAGTTTGGAAGCTGTTTGTTTGGAGATGAATGGAGAACTCCTCTGCATTAGATTATCAGAGACCTACCTGCAGTGTGCTGAACAAGGGAATAAGCTTAGTGTTGAAAAGGGGGTGTCAGGCAAAAGTCATTTGTCCTTTCTTATTGGGCAGGTGGAGCCTCATGGTTAGGTGAGTCAGCATCAGGACCAGAGCCACAGCGATACTCAGCCTTTGTACTTCTGGTCGAGTCCATAACAAACACCATGTTTGAGATGGATGGTGCATAGGTTTGTTTTGGAAGTGGCCATTTCCCAGCTGTACCAACATATGGACCCAGAGAGATGTTGTAAGGTATGATTCGGAAGTAACCCAGTCATCTTTTTTAGATGGACTTCAAAGAAGTCCTGACGTGCTGTTTTGGGAAAGCAGGACTTCTTCCAGGTTGTACTTGGTCCAAATGGAAACCCGCTAACCTGTGCTAGGGAAACGGTCATAATGATTCTAATCCAACCCCTACATTCAGCTCTTTGGCAGCGTGCTGTTTGTTTGTGGTTCACCCTGTTGGAATCATCCTGTTTGTGAGTTGTCTGTTATTGGTAGGCAAAGCCAGGAGGGGACATCTGCTCTGGGAACCTCTGAGCCATGAGCATCAGAGCCCACTGGAGTGCTTTACAGATGAGTGGGAAATGTACCGAAAGCCTGGAGAGTAGTTTAGGCAGCAGTGAGGGGATGATGGTGACCCATCCTCACACACTCCTACAGGTGGAGAAACCAGTCCGTCTTTCACTCAGAGCTGTGTTCAGGGGGGTAGGTATGATGTGAAGACGGAGCTCATGGGCAGTAACTGCTCATGGGCAGTAAGAGTACTGAGCTGAATGGCTCTCCTGCCCATCCAGGGTCAGCCTAACATGCAGCAGGAGTGTGTGGAAGAGCAGGATTCCAGATGCATTCAGGAAACGAGCTTCCCTCAGAGCGTGTCTGGGTTTGGCCTTAAGGCTTACACACACACACACACACAGAGCTGTGTGGAACAGTGTGAGCTGCTAACAGCTCTTTGAGAGCTACTGTTCCCTTAGTTTTGTTCTGCTATAGCAAAGGCAGACACATCTGCTTTTTCTCACTAAAGCTGAAGAATATCAACGATTTTCACATGTTCCTCTTTGTTGTTAATGATTTTCAGCACTACATCGTTTTAGCTAGGAAATTGATTAATTTATTATTCGGTTTAAGGTCTTTTCATATGCTTTTACCAGTTTAAATTGAATAAACAGTTTTGAATGTGTATGCAGTTTTGATACACACATTTAACCCCCCCCAGCTTACTTTACATAACATGTTTGGTAAAGCTAATAGGAATACGAGCCAGATTCCTGGTCTGGCGGGGGACCCCTGTGTCCCGTTACAAGACAAATGCCAATGATCCTTTTCAGGTGGATCAGAACTGGTTGCCATGTGGAATTTAAATTTCTGTGTCCAGCCATTTGCTGTGTGGTAAATTTTTTCCTAGGCATTTAGGAGATCTCACCCATGGTTGGAATGTTGGAGGATGTTTCTCCTTGGGAATAATTGGACTGTTTTGCCTGGCGGCTGAGCACCATGTGAATGACTCCAAAGTCTGTAGAGAGAGCAGAAGGAGCTGTGGGCACTCTCAGAAATCCAAAAACTGGTCGCCAAGAGCCACTCATCCCTTCAGCACCAGAACATGTGTGATAGGGTTGCCGGCGCTTGTCTACATCTGTCAAGTTTAATCAAGACTAGAACCAGCTGTACACCAGAGAAGGCGGATGATGTAATGTCCTGATTGACCCCTCTGAGCTGGGGTTGGTGTCTGAAACCGAGAAACAGGGAGCTGATTGGAGGGGAAAGTCACAAAAGCTAGATTCTATAAAGGGGAAGTGAAGAATATCAAACTTTGTTACAAGCTGGTTAAAGATTCAAATGTGTTATCAATGTTTAAGTCTAATAGTGAGATTTCTCTCTCAGTCCATGCGTCAAATGCTCCGTGTATTGTGGAGGGGGTAAATGGGGGGGGTGAAGTTGTGTCTCCTTGTGCAGAGGAGCTCCTAAACCGTTTCCAAGCTCTAAGAGAATGTGTCACTTTGGGGTTCAGGTGTGGTTGGATAGGGAATTAGGCAGAGGTAGAGAGCAGGGATGTGGGACGCAGTGTTCCCACCGCCGCCCTTTAATGGAGAAGCCGGGGGGGCTCTTTCCAACACCAGGTGTTTCCTGTGAAGGCTGCCCACTAATAGAATTTTGAACGGTTTTAATAATGTTTTGTTTTTTGTGTGTCTTGAGTTCTTCTTATTCCAAATAAATGAGGAGAACAATGTATTTTCCAACAGGAAAAACTATTTAGATGGAAATCCAGGGATATATTTTGAAAGTGTGAACTTGTGTTGTTTATAGAGAGACAGTAGAAGGAGGTTTCAGATATAAATCCTGTTTCAAATTGGTTAGCAGAGATGGAAAAATTGACTGTATATGTTATGACTGCTACTTTGTAAGCTCCGTACAGATGCTGCCTGTGTCAGCGCACTGACAGGGACATCTGGCTCTGGCCCTCTTGTTCTGGTTTCATCTGACCCCACATCTCACTGCACATACAGATGAAATCAGCACGTCTTTTCTTTGTTTCATTTCGGTTCAGCAGCACAGTGATAACTGAGTTTTCCGCCTCATTCAGCCCGTTCAAAGCATCCTTCTGCATAATACTCTCTTCAATCACTTGTGGAAGCTTTTTTAATGGAGAAAAATAGCTGCATATTAGTTCCACTTCCACACCCACAGTTGGAGATCACATCTGTCCATGTGTTCACAGCATTAGAGTGAAATGTGCCACAGCATTGTGCACATGTTCTACAGCAGAGTCCCACCTTTATTCATTCAGATAAAGTTCTTCCTACTCATGTTTCTTTTGTCAGGTGACTAAATGTGAGCAGGCTTTTCCACTCTGTGTGTTCAGCTTCCCTTCAGGCTTACTAAGACTAGAAGGGTCTACTTAAAAGGCCATGCTTCAGCTCATCTGCACACAGCTGGAGCTTGTTCCTCAAAACAGAAAACTTTTCTGCACATCAGGCAGCTTAAAGTCTCAACGCAGTCATGGTTTCCTTTGGAGTTAATGTGGATTAACTTTCACTCATCAGAGCATCGAAATTTATGCTATAAAAGAGTCTAAACTCCTGTTTACCCCCTTCCTCTGAACCGTAGGTGGTGACAGCCATCGTGGAGTCTGGGAAGAGCTTGTCTGCAGAGCAGAAGAAGACGGATCGCTGCCCTCTCCTGTACGAGTGGCACAAAAAGCAGTACATCGGAGCCGCCCACGGCCTGGCCGGCATCTACTACATGCTGATGCAGGTAGGGGGAGTTCAAAGGGCTGGAAATGACTTGTCGACATGAGTACAGAGAGCATTAAGTTGGTGGAGAGAGAGTTAGTGTCCTACTAATATGGGATAACACTGGATAAGGAATGAGAGTTGACCCAGATGTCCCAGCTTTCCACCAGCACCTAAATGCACCAAATGAGATGCGTCCAACATCCCTAGAGCTTGTAAACTGATCTGTGCATACCAGGTGATGTGTATGCTCAGTTGAAAGGATTTCTATCTACAGGAGTGGACTTCACTAATAGTTTAAAGTGATTTATCTTATTTAAACTCTGACTTGTCTTTAAACACAACAGATGTGTTTAAAAAAAAAGAAAAAAGATATAATTTGAATCCCAACTATTGTTCAACCTTCCACAGGTTGCAAAGCCATGAACCTTTTAATGTCTTTAAAGTCAATCTTTTAAAAATAATTTAGAAACTTTAGTTTCAGTTTGACAGAGACTTTTTGTTTGAAAAGTTCAGAAAGGATATCTACTGGTTTTATAACCTACTAGGTGGGAGGCTGAATCGATGTACTGTACTGTGTAATAAAACCTGCAAAATAGGTTTGGCAAACCACCTGCATGGTTTGCCAAACCTATTTTGGCAGCCGATCTTATTCTTAGGCAGCGTGCTTATTTGAGGAGCTAGGGATTCATTAGTTGTTAAAAAGAGCTGCTCATGATAAGAGACGTCTAAAATGAAAAGAAGAAGATCTCATCACATCTCTGCCTCACTGAGCTAATCAGAGCTCAAAGAACTGCTTCTTCTCACCTCATGAGCTCCAGCGGTTTACATGTGCTGTGATGACCAAGTCAACCATCAAATGAAGCTTAGCCTAGTCCTTATTCCACTCATTCTTCCACATCCTCTGGACATACCCGTGCACATCAGACATGTTTTTCCTCTTTCCCCTCTTTCCTCAGCCCATTAGTGACATACTGGGAATGCTGGCTCATATCTAGCTGGTCCTGTTTCTGTGGGACCCTGCTGTTGCTCAGATCTCCAGCCTGTAAAAGTGACGTCAAGTGTTCTGTGTTGGTCCTCAGCCCGGAGCGAAGGTCCACCCGGACCTGCTGTCCGAGCTGCTGCGGCCCAGCATCGACTACGTCCGCCACAAGAGGTTCCGCTCGGGGAACTTCCCGTCCTCGCTGAGCAACGAGAGCGACCGGCTGGTGCACTGGTGCCACGGGGCGCCCGGCGTCGTCCACATGCTGCTCATGGCGCACAAGGTGAGGCCGGCCTTTGTAGGGTTTGTCACGATACTAACATTTTCAACTCGATACCGATACTCAGGAAAATATTCGATACTCGATACCGTTTTCGATACCACAAGGATAAAAACAAAGACCCCAAAATGTAAGAAAATGTATGAATTTTGAGAGGTTAGTGTCTTTGGTTTCAAACTGACCTATTACTAATATTACCCTAACCCCTCCATCCTTCATAATTGTGAGAAATAAATATTTTTTGGTTAAACATGTTTGGACTTATTGTACAAACCTATTTAACATCCACTATTTTAACATAATATTATGGATAGAGTTTAATTCAGTGTTTGCAAGATTAATTTCACTATTTTTAAATGAATGTCTATATTGGCATGAAGCAATTACGATTTTCTTGCCTGGGATCTTCCTATTGGATATCCATCCTTGGCTTCCTGCAGGCTTGGTTAATGTTGGCGTGTTATTATTAGCCGTTAGCCGCAGCTAGCTTTTTAAGGCTGACGTCACGTTAATGATCATAAACAACGTAAATAAATAAATAAATAAATCAGAGAGAAGGGGCGCAGCGTCGCAGGTCAGCCGTAGTATCGATACTTTTGAAAATGAGTATATACAACGTTTTAGTTTTGATAATTTTTTTGAGTATGGATACTTTTGACAACCCTAGCCCTTTGTCCAGCCCTCATGAGGCCACACAGCCTGCTGGATTTGTGTGGGCTCCTGCACAACAGAGCTTCGATTCACCCGTTGCTGGACAGGCCCCGGGCCAGAGGGGCGGGGGGGCAACGGCCCACCCGACGGCCCCATCTGGGGCTCAGGCGGGGGTCACGGAGCTCTGGCCTCTGAACACGCTCCTCAGCCCAGCGATGGATTTAGTGTCATTTACTGAACACGTTTCAGAGAGGTGGTGAAGCCCAGTCTCAGCCCCCCCCTGCTGCCGCACACACACTCTCTGGCTGCAGGATCTCCCTGTCGGCTCAGTCCTTCTTCTCTTCCTCCATTAGGGAGACACTCGGCAGCTCCTGTGCGGCCATTTTGGTATTCCCATTCCTCTCACTGAGGCAGAGCCTGGCACAGAGAACAAAGCACAGCGGGGGAGCTCTCCTCCGCCCCGCTCTGCTCCCAGAGCACACAGCTACTCTGCAGTCTGTCACAGGTGGAGGGAACAGCCTGGCGTGTCCCAGCCGGAAGGTCCAGTCACGTAGCCTAGATCAAGGTCACTGATGGACAGAAGCCTGCTGTCAGATGCCTGTGGACGTGGATAGATGTTCAGGCTTCCAGCTCAGTTCTGGGGCATTCTGCCCTCAACTCAGACCCCGTCTCCTGCACTTTGCTCTGTCCAACTCTCAGTCACCTCCAGCGTTTCCTTGCAGCTGGCCAGGTGACCGTGAACCAGGAGGCAGGTGATCAGATTAGGGTTTGTTCTGCCTCTTTACCCAGATGCTCCGTTCAGCCTTCCTGCCGCTGTCACTGACCTCACAGCCTGTCTCCCTGACCGGCCTCCTCCACGTGGGACAGCTCACCTCACTCAGACAATGCAGCAGCTCCGTTGTACCGTGGGATTCCTCAGCAGCTAATGAGGCCTGAGACTGTGGCGATGCTTGCCTCTGCTCTCAGGAGACGGATCACATGCCCCCGCTGAAGCTCAAAGCTTTAGCATGTGGCAGGGCCTGTTCACCAGACAAAAGCTGGGTTTGAAAGATGCCTTTACCTGTCTTCCAGGTGTTCAAAGAGGAGAAATACTTGAAGGAGGCAGTGGAATGTGCTGAGGTGATCTGGCAGCGCGGCCTGCTCAGAAAAGGCTACGGCATCTGCCACGGCACGGCCGGGAACGGCTACGCCTTCCTGAGCCTCTACAAGCTCACCCAGGAGAAGAAGTACCTGTATCGCGCCTGCAAGGTAGGCCCTCGAGCAGAACGGTGTCCTCCTCCTATGGTGGAGGGTTTACCAGATGTTCCGGGAGCAGGGGTCCAGCTCCTGAGTGAGCAGGTCAGTCCTCCAGTGTAACGTGAGGTTGTGGTTTCCCTCCTGTAGTTTGCTGAGTGGTGTTTGGACTATGGGACTCACGGCTGTCGCATCCCAGACAGACCCTACTCCCTCTTTGAAGGTAAGACAGTTCCAGATGTGCTCTGACTACACACACACATTCACGCACACGCAAACACACACACACCTCAAAGAGACAAAGGGCTGACACCGTCTCTAAACCTTCAGACAGCAATCATTTCCTTTTCGTAGATTGAATGGTAAACCCTCTCCTCCATAGGAATGAGAAGGGTGTGTTCCAATCAAATCCAACTTTATTTACATGGCACCTTTCATACAAAGTGCTTCACATAGTAAAACCATAATAAAATCAGCCCCCACCACACAAAACTTTAACACCTGACTCTGCTGGCTCTTGAACTGAGACTGGTATCCATAGCAACAGTAGTCACGGTGTGGAAGATCCCCGTGAGGAATAAAGACTGGAGTTGAACAATTAAGCTTTGAAACACAGCTTAAAAGTTACAAAAGAGCAAAACAAAACAAAAATCAATAAGAACAATAAAAGTAAACTTAGAAGAGCAAGTTCTTAAATGGGTAATCGATTAATTAAGAACCGATAAACAGCTGACCGTCAGTAACTCGGGTTGTGTTTTTAATTATGGCACAATAATTATGACCGCCTGTCACCTGACCCTGTTTCCTGCTCTCTGATTGGCTGATTGGCGCCATCTGGGTGCCACCCACTGTTTGGCCAAGGAGTCACATGACTGGCAGCGGCCGTTTCAGAAACCCAGCACCAACAAACACAGCAGCACAGTGAGAGTGACGTGTTTCTCTGTCCAGGTATGGCGGGGGCCATCCACTACCTGTCTGAGCTGGAGAACCCAGAGGCGTCCTGCTTTCCTGCCTTTGAACTTTGACCTGCCATGGGCCAGGACGGAGGATGATGGAGAGGGAAGATGGGGACAGACTTTGTCAGGGAGTCGGATCAATGGACTGGATGTATTTTGATGTTTCAGACGCTCTCAGAGGGTCATACTGGAAATTGAGGACGATGAGGAAACATCTGCTTTTTTTTTAGTTAAAACAAACCGTATGAATGACTACTGAACAAAACAGTGTGAATGTTGTTGATCCAGGAAAAAGAGAAGCAGCAGCTGGGCTGAGAGGCAGGATGGGGTGGAAGAATTCTGGTGGAGAAGATGGACATTTGCCACTGGGGTCTGATGAAGAACCATCCCATCTGAGCGTCATTACAGTTCTGCACTTTGGCCAAGACAGCGCGTTTGGTTTTGTGTGTTTGTGTGTCTGTGAGAGACGGAGAGAGAACGACAAATGTCACATAGCGAGATGTCTCCTCTCTGATTTAACAGCCCAGCTACTTTTGACCACCTCATCAAACCCATTATCTGTCCGGTGGATGTGACCCCTCTTCCGGTTCCACCTGCATGCTGTGAAGCTGTTGCAGAGGGGCCTCGCTTCTCATGATATCCAACCCACTCTGGTACCAACCCACACTAAGAAACCCTCATTACTTCTCACACATTCACAGTGGATCTGTTAAACGTTCATCAAGCAGAACACTGAGGAGGGAATTCGATGTTTGCCACAAATACAAGTAAAACCAAGCTAGAAGCCAGTGAGAGGGGATCTTTTTGGAGTGAGCAAACCCCGTAGCAGTGGTTCTGACCCAGCTGTAGAACATGCAGACATTTAGCTGCCGTAAGGCTTACTTAAGAGATAAATAATTGCGCATTGATATGAAAATGAATCTGAATATTTACTAGAGGCCCAGTAAGCTTTCAGCTTGGCCGGTCTCTGGATTACATCCTGATTCTCCAGCTCAGAGCCCTCCGCCAGCTGTCCTCTGCAGGAGTTGGATGAGTTAAAGAGAAGGAACAAACCTGACTCCATCCAGGGGTCTGCGGGGCCTCGCACCTTCTCACACTCTGTGTGAAGAGCCCAGAGCTGTGCTTTCACACCAACGTGAGGGCAGCTGCACCCGTTGTCTGGTGTAGAAGTTGCATTTATTATGTTCCATTATGAGGTCTTTTCTGTGGATTTTCCATACTGAGCTGGGAAACTGAAAAGAAAAATTGCTGACATGCTAAGCTGCCAATGACTTAGTCCAGTATATCCAGAGAAGGTGCTCCCAGCTTTACTAACGGGGAAGAGTTCAGCTTACCTTAGAATGTTTGGGAACAGAGCGCGTGGATAGTTTTTGTGTTCTTTTTTCCTTGTCCTCGGCTGTATGTTGTACAGGTATTAACACAGGTGGCAAACCACCGTGAGATGGGCTATCTTTATTTTTTGTTTACGTTTTGTACTCCAGTTTCAAAGGATTTAATTGTAAAAACAGGCCAAGTAATCCACCGTTCCGAATGTTCTACCAGTCCAAAAGGAATGTCCTTGCTTTGAACACTGAGGGCATTAGAATTTTATTGAGAAGTGGAAATCTGCAGGGTGCAGTAAACCTCCACCAATAGCAATACGGCCAGCTGTAGGCTGGATGGTGGATGTTATGGCCGATATGTGTATGTCCTGTAATCTTAAGTTATTTCATAAAAATGGCCCTATTTGGAACCCATTTCATTCAGGTTTTTCATGCATTGAGCTAAATGAATTCCCTTTTGGTTTGCCAGTGTTTTCATAACTTTGAACTAAAAGATGGAAACGGACACAAAGAAATGTACTCATTTATCCTTTAAATCCTGTGGCTCTGGTTTGGTCCTGGGTCCGGCAGAGTCGCGCCTGTCCAGTTCCTCCAGCCATGCAGACAGCACCTGAATGCACATACGATGCCTAATTCTCCAGAAGAGATTCTGAACACCATGAATGTCATTGCATGAGGAAAGTGTCTTGTAGAGAAGTGTTTGTGCTCATCGTTTGGTGTGTGTCCAGGCCTGATGGCGGGTCCGTCCCCTGAGGACTGCTGATGGTCTAGGTGACCTGTGGAGTCTGACCTTTGTCCATTTGTGTGTGACTTGCCTTCGAGCTCATGTGGTGTGACCATCCAGGTGTGTACTTGTTTCTGTGTCTAAGCAGTGACGAGTGAGATGTCTCCATTTGTTCTTAATCCTGCTTACAAAGTGACTAAATTCAAGCAAAATGTGATCTTACTGGAAATAAAGCTGAACAGAGATCTACCCTTTGTTATCGCTGTTGTGTATGGAAGGATTTCCCTATTGTCAAGGTACTTTTTTCCATTATTTATTTAAGCTTAAAAAATCAGTCGGTTTCACTTTGATCATGACCATGAATCTCCAATTGATCTGCTACACACACTCAACATGGTTTACCTCAACACTTCATGTTTAGCTTATTGTTAAAAAAAAACAAGTTAACAGTTTTGAGAATGGTCTCATAATCCTAAAAACGGTGGCTCCTGCTTCCCTGCCCTGCTGGACTACAGCTACGTCCCTTCTCTAGACTCAGACTGTTTGTTTGAATGTTTAAGAGTAGCATTTAAAGGTGTCCACAGCATCTTTCCAGAACCTGCTCCAGCATCAAGACACATCCTGAAGCCTCCTGTTACAGCAGTCAGATGGAGAAGCAGAAGGAGAGCGGAGCAGATGGTGTCCGCCTCCAGGCCTGGAGACCTGTGCACAGCAGCTATGTGGGGCTTCACAGCACCTCCTCCATCCCACCCCAGGACAGGAGAAAGATCCAGAACGCTGGGAGACGCATGCAGCCCCCGGTGAACACCGAAAGCTGGTGAGCCTCTTTTAGGAGCCACTAGACCAGCCACCTCTGCTGGTGAGCCTCTTTGCCTGTAGGTTTTAGATGTTCAGCCCTGGAGCCCCCCCGTTTATTGTCCTGGGCCTGATGTTTAAGATGCCATCGTCCAGCTTCTCTGCTCTCTTTTGGACAGAGTGGCCCATCGGTACTGTTAATACAGGGTAGCTTGTTTTATTTAGTTTTATTGTGTGGAAGTTGGGGTCCTCCACAACCACCTGAATCCTTTTACCAAACAGCAGGTTGTCAGGCTGGAGGGTTGTTTGTTCTACGTTGTGTGCAGCACAACAGGGGCACATCTCAACCACTCTGACTCCCTGAGGAAAAAAATAAACCTATCTGACATGGAAAATAAAGGATTGGCAATTTAATATGGAGATGAGCCAAAACTGTTTCAATGCCAGGAGAAGGATGGAGGAATTCTGAGTGTTCACCAGATCTCAGGTAGAACTGGAGATACAACACAGGCCATTCCTACCTCACGTTTAACTGTACACAGTCACTAAAAATGGTTTTGGTTTGGATTTATGCAGAAAAAAAATATCGAGTGTATGTTTAATCAAGTATACATTTAATGTAAAATCTTAGGATTTAATCAAATGACCTTATTTGATAATTGATGTGCTTCCTAAACTGCCAAAGGTAGTTTCCTCTGAATATATGCCAGATATTGTGTTTGTGTAGTCAACACCTCACAACAGCCATCCAAACAGATTATTCAGTGTTGTTGGGAGTGAAATTTATTTACATAGATTACAATGTACAATCAGCCTTTATGTTGAAAGCATCAAAGCGGATGGAAAACAAAGATTTACACGCAGAATTAAAATGGTTCATCAGTTACTTTTTGCATAGTTTTGATTTGATTAAACTGCACCTTTTTGAATTATGCCCCCAGTCCTAAAGCTTCAGATACAAATAAACCCAGTCTGGATGTCACACAAAAGGCTAAAGGCTAACAGCCAGCGGCTGGATCGAGATCCAAATCCTCCATATAGGGAGAAGGAAAAGAGCTTCCTACTGTCCCTAAACAAGCTGGGAGCATACCTGGGTCATAGAAAATATCATTTAGAATTTGTGCTAGTAACAGATGGATAGGAAACTGAAGAAACACAGGATCTCCTCTAGTCTGCTCTAAGATATAATGACTGTGAGTGTTCTATCCTCAGAAAAAGTGGCTCTTCAGAACGTGGTTCAAAATAGCTCTGATCGTTACTCTGAAAAGGAAAAACAGACCAAATCCGTGTCAGAACTTCACCTGTCAGCGGAAACTTCCTGTTTGATGAATGCCTCTTACACCTCTTACCAAATGACTGAACAGGAACTCCTCATCTTCTCCCACATCTCTACAGACCTGCTCCCATTGTCTCTGCCCCAGATGTTCCCACACATCCATTCATTATTGTAAAAAGGAATTGCTGGGAATCTATTAACATGTCCCCTCAGGAACAACCTCGCTGTTACTCTGGTGTCACTGGGAACCCAACAAAATGGTTCAGTCCACACACAAATCTGAGTGAACCTGCTGGTGGATGCCATGATAGGATGCCGCTACAAGCCTGGGACATTTTACTATTATTTCTTCAGGTTCCTCCTTTACTTTTTGCTGTCTGTCTCCTGCCAAGCTCTTTTAGGTAGCTGTCCATCTCTTACATACAGTCCAGGGGCTCCAGTGACTTTATCACTGTAAGATAGACAACCAAAAGCCTCATTTCTTCAGGAGGAGGCCATAGTCTCCTAAACACAAGCAGAAGGGGCATCTGATTGTCCACGTGAGAATGAGAGCGCATGGTCCCAGATCAGAACAGCCGGTCAGAGCGGATCCAAAGTGAAAAGTCCTTTATAGAAGCTGGAAAAACAACAGCAACATTGGAGAAAGATTCTCCATGTGGGAGAACATTATCCTCATGATGTGGTTGGGATGTCCTCAGGATTCTCTATTGAGACTTTTCAGAAGATGGAAAGTCGCAGTGCAAATCTGAACGAACTATAGGTGGCTCAGAAGAGTTGCACTATGGGAGGTGTAGGATACAATGTCAAACTTCTATGGGGTCTAAATGTGTGGTGGATTTAGCTCATACATAGTTTCTGTTATGAGTGGAGTTATGAGTGGAGGTTTCTGCCCAGTGGGGTGAAAATAGAGGGATAATGCTGTTCTTTTGTCTCTGCTAAGAGTAGAGCGGACAGTCTGAGAAGGATTTTTCCTCTCAATCTGATGAAAAGATGATTGGAATCAAACTATCTCTCCTTTAAAGCTGACCAGTGAAGGTCCATGTTGATCGTTTCCCTCTGGTCATCATTCCATAACCCACCATCAAGCAGCAGGGAAATGCATTCCCAGTCACACAGATTTAGTACAAGGACAGATCATTTGAAATAAAAAAACATTAATAGGTTTGTCCCAAACATTTAAATGAATGACTTAGTACGTAAGTATCCATCCATCCGTTCCATTTTCCCAGTTAACATTGGGCGAGGTGGGGAGTACATCCTGGAAAGGTTTCCAGTCCATCACAGTAATTATTAGTGATCTATTTACAGTTTTTCTTTCATGTGTGATGCAAAAGTAGGCATTCCTCTTCTTTAAAATAAATTACATATGGAAAACAAAAGCTAAAGGCAATGGTCAGTGCATGGAGAATCATCTGGTTTCACCAGCCGTTCCTGTAAAGGGGGCTGGCTGGACAGATTAAATAAAAGGGGCATATTGAAGTCTGAAAGGTGGCAGTCAAAAAGCAGATAACTAACACACTTTCTACAAAGTGCAAAACCTAATAAGATCCGAGCAGCTTTTGTGTGGATACAAACACTGGCATAGTTCTGAGGAGTAAAACCAGCATCTGTTAGAAACTATTCCTACTTTTGGGTTGCAAATTGCAAAAGAGCAGAAAACGATGTGCTTTGATGCCTTTTCCTGACCGAAACCATCAATAAATAATTATAAATACTCAGAACAAAACTGGAATACTTGAATAATCTGATTATGGCATTGAAAACTATAATATTTCCTCAGTAGTTGTGAACTGAGCATGAAAAAGCCCATAATGACGTATTGAGGCTATTCCAACAGAGAAGAGTTCTGAATCCAACAAAGCCCATAATCAATTCATTTAGATAAACCCTACAGCAGGAAAGCATAAGCATCTGAAACTAAGAAACATTTGTGCACGGGGACAGACCTCTCACTGTGAATTCTGAGGACAAAATGAAGGCGGCTAACATCACAGCCATGACTTTGGCTACTTAGTGAGCTCAACATGGAGAATTATTAGCAACTAGCACAAAGAAATACTTTCCCTTTGGCTACCTACTTTATGGCAAAGGTTTAAGTCGTGGACAAAGGTCATTTTTCCAAATATCCTATGTTACAAGGCTAAAATGATTTAAAAAATCCAAACATTCAGGTCATTCTTAGACATCTGGATACCAAAGGTGAGCAGGTCTGCTCCCCCAGGAACACCAGCTGTGTAGTTTCAGCTCCTTTCTTTTCTAATCCTATAGCGACTATAAGTCTTTGCCAGGAAATAAACGTCTACATTTGCCAACAAAACTTAGCGAAACGATCTCTAGACAGGTTAAACACCAGCAGCATACAGCACTAGCATCACAGTCACGCACCTCAAAGAATTGCTGATGGACACTAGAAAACCGGGGAGATCCTGGTCAAGATCCTGGTCCAGATCCTGGTCCAGATCCTGGTCCAGATCCTGGTCCAGATCCCTTTCTCAGATCTTCAGCCTCAGGTGTCCCTTAATATTAAGTTAGCCTCAAACGGGCATGCACCCAGCACCTTACTGCTCAGGAAGGGGGGGTCAGACCTGCTCCTCAAAGGTTTGACTGGAGCTGGGGGGGGTGGGGCGGGGGGGCAGGTCAGACCTTTTCCTACAGCTTTAACTGGAAGATGGAAGAGGAGAACACATAGAGTCCAACCTGTGTGAATGAGTGAGCTGGGGGGGGGGTGTGGATGGGTGAGTCTCAGTGTCCCCCCCCCCCCTGAACAGTGATGTGTACCAGAGGGCTGACTGCTGCTGCTCGCCCACTGAAGTCAGATTCCATCTCCTCAGTTCCTTGGAGAACTTACTTCTTCTCAGTGTTTTGAAATATTTGTTCGTAGGGTGGGGGGGGGTGGTTGCAGTAGGATGGAGGCGGGGGGTAGGCGCTCAGCATCATCTGGGTGGAGCCACGGGGTGCGCGGGGTACACAGGGTGGGCCATGGGCAGCCCCGGCTCGCCCCCCATCATCCCGTTGACCCCAAAGCCCTGCATGCCCCCGGGCTGCTGGGAAACTGGAACACAGGGGGGGTCAGCAGCGTTAGGGTCAGCAGCGTTAGGGTCAGCAGCGTTAGGGTCAGCAGAGTCTGCCTTTATTTACCCAACAACTCCAGTTTCAGGACAAAAATGATTTACTTCAGTGGAGGAGCAAACTTTAGAAATACAGTGCCCTCCACAATTATTTGCACCCCTGTTTATGATGTGGTTGAGGACTTCTATCTTTTTTTTAAAAACAACATAGAACCCAAATGAAAAAAATGAGAAAAATCCACCCTTTTATTTAAATACATTACTCTGGTGGTAAAAATAAAATCACGTTTAGAAAATAAACCACGTGAAATTGTCATATTTATACTCCAGGGAAACATGAAGTCATGAATTACTAATTAAAAGTTTCTAGATACCATGACCAACTTTAGCAACTACAGCTAAATATATTGAAAGGAAATCAATTACATTTTTCTGCATAACTGTTAGGGGGGGCAGTAATTGTGGGACACACGATTTCACGTTTTTTATTTAAAAATGTATTTATTTATTCTTTATTAAATGTGTGATTTTATTTTTACCACCAAAGTAATGTACTAAAATAAAAGGTTGGATTTTTCTCTTTTTTTGCATTTGGCTTCTATGTTGTTTTAAAAAGAAATTGAGAATTTTTTGAAATCCTCAACTACATCTTAAATAGGGGTGCCAATAATTGTAAAGGGCACTGTAAGTTCCATCTCACGGGAAACATTTAGACTACTCTGGATAAAGCTCTCCCCTCCTCCTGGATGAGGTGAACCCTTAGTGTCACATTTTTGGTTCTGTTTTTGTACACCTTTGCTTCTTTGGGGTGTTATTTTTCTCTCTGGTTCTGGATCCGTTGGAGGGTTGCTGGTTGTATTTACTCCCCTTTAGAGCTTCTGTTAGCACTGCAGGCGCCCCCCCCCCCTCAGCTCCTTTTTATAGACCCGTTCCTGCCACGGACCTGTGAGCTGCTGAGCTGGCGTTATTTCTGGGGTTTTATGGATTGTTCTCATTTTAGGCTTTTCGGTCATTAAATTCATACTTTGCATTCAATTAAAATGGACCGATATCACTGTCAGTCACTTCCCTTTTTGCTGACCTGGCAAAAACCTGGGGCTAATCTTCCTAAACTCTGCTGATTATCAGAGTAGTTGGCTAATAACTTTGTGCTGACGAGGCATTCGTGGATCGTTTCTTCCTCTCTTACATCCGCGGGCGGCTGCATGTCGTACCGTTTGAAATCGCTCTCTCAGATTTGTTTTGCATGAACAGCGTAGTTAACGTCTTTAAGTGAATTATTCTTTACAAGCGTGTGCTTGTAATGTCAGATTAGCTGTTTAAAGTTCCAAATTTAGTACGAATACAGGCCTCTGGACACCCAAAATAACAGCTTTTAGTTTTTAAAGTTTTAAAAGTATTTTTGGGGTTGTCTTTTTAATAAAAACAAAACCTAAACTACTGCATTATTACTTCATTACGTTCCACATCCAGTTTATTTCTGGGATTTGGATTCTGACCTAAAACATAGAAACTCTTCAACAATACTTTTGAATTCCCATAAAGGATTATTTTTTATTTTAAGGTTAATAAAACTTGGGATAAGGGGCTCCTCTGGGTCACCTTCCCTCTATCCAGTCAGAAAAGGCTTCTGTGCTGCGGTTATTCTTGGAGCGCTCCTCTCCATTTTCTGCTCGGTTGAATGACAGAGCAGAAAATCCATTCATGTAATTACGACACAGGTCTATCTGCTGACCCACTTTCCCCTCATATCTGGAGTTTAAAATGAGAGATCTGAGGGCACTGCGTCAGTCTCAGGGAGCCTCACCAGTTCATCTGAAATCCAGTTTGAAATTCAGAATTGAAAGTGGAACGGAACCAAAGTGAGGCTTATTTGAAAACGCTGCTCGTGTGTACTTCATGTTTCAGTGAGTTTGATTAGGTCATTGCTCTCAGACGGTGAACCCATTCTCTCTTTGTTCACACAAAGAGAATCCTTTTTGAGATTTACCTAATCTGAACATGTTCACCTCTCCGGTGGCAGCTGTTTCTGTGGGTTCTCTGATGACCTGTTCCAGTGCCTGCATAAGTTTACCTGCTAACAGCCACTGACTTATGTAGAAAACAGCCACGTTATCCAGCTACATTTTTAACAAAACGTCTACAAATGTGACATTAAGTATTAAGCTTTCATTTTATCACAGCGTCTGGAGCTCCAGAGCTTTGATGCCAGCTGTGGTGACATGAACAGAGGGAACATGGAAAGTCTCATCTTTTATTCGGAGCTCTCAAAAACTAGGTCGGAGATCTATCTGACCATTCTCACCTAACATGGGATTTCAGCCGAATCTGTTCTGGGACTGCAGTGACCAATAGTATACCTTAGAAGATTAAATGCTTAACCAATGGCTGGGTGAAAAGAAGTCTCAGCTACTAAAGTAAGTTCCACTTTTGTGGTCAGATTCCACTCCAAAGCTACAAAGAGTGAAAACCCGCAGCCTGCTGTGGATCCGGGGTGAGGGTGAGCAGGCAGGCTGATTCAATCAGTTAAACAGTTAAGGGTCAAATGGAGTAAGTAGAGCTTTAACTATCTGATGGAGACCGGGAGCTCCTGCTAAGGAGCTGGAGATGGAACCGGGGTCACCCAGATCTGCTCAGCCCAACCTGGGACTCACATGGGTGATGTATTTCACCCTGAAAACACGAGCGATCTGAGTGGAAATCTGGGTGGAAATGAGGAGGAGAGCACAAGAGCTGCAGTTTTCACCTGGTGATGTCACGGGGTGCCGGGTGAAGGACACGTTAAAGGCCGGCTCGTCTCTCAGGGGGGAGGGGTACATCCGTCTGCGGATGAAGAAGCCGGCCCCGCAGCAGAACAGCACCCCCATCATCAGCAGCACCCTGGGAGAAGAAGAAGAAACAGAGCGGAGCTCATTTCTAGCTAAGAGGTGGCTCTGGAGACAAAAGAACAGCCGAAGACCAGATCAGAGATGAGTCTGCATCTCCACCAGAGGGAGCATTCAGAGCAAAGTCCATCCATGGACACATGGACACGTAATGGGGCTTTGACTATTCTATATATTTGTGTATATATTCCGGATGATATGCAAACTGTTCAAATGCCTTCATCTCATTCCTGTCTCTCTGTAATAAAGCGGGGACTCACCAGAAGTACCATAGTCTCTGGATGGACAGCGCCCTCACGCAGCAGCGGGTTCCACAGCAGTCCTCGTAGGAGCGGCATCTGCAACACAGGTGTGTGTGGTCAGAGGTCAGAGGTCACCCAGGCAGCTGACACTGAACAGAAAGAGCCACAGCCGATGGCTTACGGACACCAGCTGGTTTACAGTTTACTACTAAACATATACCATAGAATGGTTCACATTTTGAATAGATCTGTGCATTGTACCACATTTACTTTTTTTCCTTTTTTAAACTATGTAAATTCAGTCTTCAACACTTAGTTAAGAAGGGATGATTGGAGCAGGAGAGAAGTGATAAAGACTGGGGAGATGAGACAAAGTAGGAAGAGGAAAGAATAACAAATTCTAAACAGGATAGATGGGAAAGAAGTGGTCAATTTGCTGCCAGGTGGGGTTGAGCTTTATGTGGATGGGGATTTTGGTCGTTGGTTATAGAAGCTCAGAGCAACGAATTGGAAAATGACTTGCAAGGTAGCCGCCAACTGGTTAATCTGGTTAACCTGGCTAACCTGGCTAACATCTACATGTGGCACCACTTGTCTGCCTTTTATTCAGAAGAATACGAGAGCTGAAACTTTTACAGAGCAAATCCAGGAGAAGTTATTGAGCGCAGACTGAACATCGGCTCTCTCTAGCAGCATGGAGTGAGCTACTCCTAATCCACAGAGCCTGATTAGTTTGGCTGGTTGGGGTGGTTAGGCTAAAACAAACCACCAGACAGAAAACTCATTCTCCTCACAGAACACGACTGTAATCTGCCACTTATTGTGGCGTCTGTCTCTAAAGAGACGTCTGTGTGAACAGCCGGAACAGAAAAAGATCATCTGTAACGTAAAAAACCCATCTGAGGATGGACCTCAGGAAGTGCCAGTGTTTAATCTGTGTTCTGGTTTTGTGCTGGAGTAGATTGGTGGTCACCAGGTCACCGTGGAGCTAAGAGCTGAATAGAGGGAACATACTGCTGAGGAGGCACTTCAGATGAGAGCTGGAAAGTCTAATTTGGATTATTCAAGGCTGGAGGAACAGTTAGGCTCCACAGTTCTGCAGCACATTAGCATTATCACATCACACCACCCACAGCCTCAACTTTCAGATATCCACACATCTGAGTTTAAGTGTAAGCCCCTCTCTCCCTCTCTGGCTTCTGGGCTTTAACTTGGGTTTAGCAATCACTCGCTGTTTAAAGCATTTAATCCCGGCCAAACAGCCCGGCTGTTGTGTATTGATGTTTTCCTCGGCACAGACAGATTCACAAGTGTGTTCTAATGAGGGCATTCATCAACATTTCTGCTTCATAAACAAAACCTCGCAAAGTCTCAATCTAAAAGGCAAAGCCAGCAACCTGGGAGCCAAAAACTCAGAACCGGGGCCAACTGGTGATGGATCGGCCCGGAGAGCAGCAGGGAACCCGCACTAATGGAGCAGAGAAAAGAGCGTGTGTGTGTGTGTGTGTGTGTGTGTGTGTGTGTGTGTGTGAGAGAGTTGGCTGTTGCCAGCTGGGATGAATCCCCGTCATCTGGGCCTCCGGCACCTGTCTGAGGATGGAGGTGGGAGGATATCAGCACCAGTCTGCATCCCTACATCCAGTGTTTAGGAAGCAGGACCCTAAACCTGCAACCCCCCCCCCCCCAGGGATCTGCATCAGTGTTGTTTCTGCTGGGTGAAGGCCAGTAAAATGCCTCAAAACGACATTCAGCAGACCTGATTATATGCCGAATGATTTATTTTTCATTTGATCCATTTTTTTGCTGCTCTACACAGCTTAAAATTAGTTTTTTGATAGTAAATGTTCATCCTCATTCATGTTAAATCATCATTCATTTCCAGAGTCTTTCACAAAACACCGCCACCCAGCCAGACCACTGCAGATGGCAGGTAAGGGGGAGAAAAGTAGAAGTGGGGGTTCAGCCTTCAAAATGAAATATGTAAGAACAAGAACAGAGAGATTATATTTTATATGTCAGTGACATAAACAGCCTTCATCCAGTGTCCTTTTCAAACTATCTGCTCTGGAGTCAAACATCCATGTTGAGATCCAGGAAGATACTCTGGATTCTGAAATTAGGATGTAATTATCAAAGTAATTAGAAAAAAATCTATTTTTCCAAGCAGCATGTTATATTTCCAGTTAAGAGCTATATTTCCAGTTCCAGCCACTCCTATCTTTCTAGGTGGAGACAGATTCTTTAATGTGGAGCCGACTCCAACAATGTGTCTAAACTGACATTCATTGAGGCAATACATAAATGATTTCAGAGGCATTAAAAAAAAATCAACAAAATACTTTTAGAATTACTTAAAGTGTTTAACTTTATCCTCAAGTGAAGCAACTGAGTGTTTTTCTCTTAATCTATTCCCAGATTTTTGTGTATACTCACTATTTGGATTTCATGGTGATGCTGTATGATTCTGGTTTTCTTTTAAATCTGTTATTTCTTGAGTGCCTAGATACATGTATTGCGATTTGGCCCAAAATAATTACAACTGAACTGAAATTACCTCTTTAGTTTTTGGAGAAATGACAGCAAAGCGTTTTCTAAAAGCTGGAGAAGCTGGATTCAGGTTTTTCTTTGCATTTGTAACTACTACTTTACAGAGCTTTGCCCATCCACATCTTTACTGGTGTGTCAAGGAAACTGTAACGGGTCCCAATTCAAATTTTTCAGATTTTCTCAAAAGTTTACATGATAATTCATGCAACATAAACTGGTCAAAAAGCCTCCAAAGCAGCTTCCTTCTAAAAAGAGGACTGAAAAATGATGTAAACTTACATGAAATAGATGGGGTATCCGCCCTCAAAGTACCAGCAATACTTCTTTGCTTCTACACACTGTAAAAGACAGAGAGAATGCAGCAATCATTAAAAAAACATCCAGTCGAACAGAGGATCCAAAACTCTGTGCCCTGCACAGACACAGATGATTACACTGTAAATGCAATCAAAACTAGTCAGATTTGATTAGATTCCTGGCTCTGTGGATGTCTTTTCAGTTTAATAGTGACTGCCACAAACATGACTCAGATTGAGCTTAGTCTACACTATTAGCTCCTGTTTTAAGATGAACTCCAGAAAGAGAATCATGAAATAAATCCTCAGTCGTCCACGGTTTGGTCCTTCCAGATGCTGGTGGTCCAGCAGCCGTCGCTATGCTGAGGAAAGGTGACCTGAGTGGGCTATGAAAGTCCTTCTGAAGCCTAACCAAAGGGATTTGATGACCTAAAGACTAACAATACAATGTCAAAATAAAAAGAAGCACATAAAAAACTGGTTGGAACTGAGGTCCCATGGCGGCACACTTCTGTCCGGGGACTTTTCCTGATCCTTCTGACATGGATCCCTCCAGAATTTCCCTGCTCTCTTCTGTGAATCACAAAGCTGGATTTCTGGCTTAGCGGGATCATTTCAGGGTTAATCTGAATGAGGCAGGCGAGGAAATAGTCTCTGATCAGATAATGTGTAATTAAAATGGATCTAATATGCTTATAACTCCATAATAACCAGGCCCAAACGTCAGCAGAAGCCTGGGACCCACTGGTGTTGTGTGAGGAGCAGAGCAGAGTGGACGGCCGCTAGCTGCCCCTCATTATGACAACACTAGGTCATTTGTCCGGCGGCTGCTGAGAGAAGGAGCACACGGGGACATCCGGTCTCACAACAAAAGTCTGACGCACACATCAGAAAGAGGGCGGTCAAAGGAGAGATCATGTCCATCCACAGCTGCTCACACCACAGGAACATCACCAGGTGATGAGTGGAGCTCCTGCTCAGGTGATGCTCAGAGCCATGATTCAGTCCTATTTACAGTTTTTAAAACGTTATTTCCATGCATCTAGTTTTATCTGGACTTCTCTCTAACTGCCCACAGTGCTCTGCCGGTTATGGTGGCCATCCAGCTCTGTCCATTGTCTCTGTAATTACAGCCCAGTGAGAGCTGACTGTTTCTCTTTGCTCCATGGGACAAAAATGACCGTTACGTAACGGCCCAATGTGTTTTCCTGCCCCTGCAGCCGGACGGGTTTTGGCTAGGCGTGCTGGTGGGGGATGAATAGTTCAAATGGCCACAGTCTAAATCTCAAAACGTAGTGTGAAGAGTTCGCAGAGTGGAGCCAGGGCGTCCGGCTGGCAAAGGAAACGGGCCAGGAGAGACTTTCAGAGGTTCAGAGGTTCAGAGTTTCAGAGTTTCAGAGGCTCTGATTCTCACGGATACCAGGCTGTCAGCTCCACGGTGGACGGCTGGTTTCCAATTCAAATGAAACTGAGCTAACAATAATTTATACAGGCCGTTGAAACTGCCATGCCACGCTCCCCGCCTGCCCTGATGAAGACTGAACAGAGTAACGAATGCCCACACAGCAATATCTGCTCTAAAACAGCCATCTCCATGTGAGGTTTTCTATAAAAACATTTCTTTGATTCTCTTATGCGGTTTTATCTCTCCCTCTCCTTTAGGGGTCTTTCATCTCCCCCACCTCCTCCTCTGCTTCCTGCCCTATTGATCTCAGCTGACCACACAGACGATAGAGGGCAGCCGTCGGCCAATCAGCAGCGATTGATGGGATGTGTGTTTGGTCAGAGGGGAGACACAGAGGAGGCCTTCTGTAGGTCCACTCCAGGTCCTAACTGCTGGTCAGCCTGAGTCCTGCCGGGGTCAGGACGCCTGTCCAGAGCCGTGCTCACAGGAACTCTCCGGTGTTTGGGGTGAGTTTGCTGCTCATCTGCACTGCTCAAACCAGTGATTAAAGAAAGGTTTGAAGCTAGCAAGTTTAACCACAAAAATGTCCCCGTGGGAGGAGGGGCAAGCCCATGTTAATGTCTAAATCCTTCAGATCACTTTGTGCTAACGCACAACAAGATATACACAACCTTCACAAGATAAAATCTCTTTCTCATTACTTTGAAAAAAATTCTGAGACTTGATTTTATTAAGGATTAATAAAATATACTAAGGATTAAACAAAATTTAGTTTGAGATTAATTGAGTTGTCTTTTCCTTTTTTAAACAAGCTAACTGAAATCTGATTTGAATCTATCACTGAGTACAAAGTATGACACAAATGGTGGTTAACCAGGGTTTTTACATAGCATGTGACTTCCTCATTTCGGAGCTCTTGATGGTTGACTGTACGCTGATTGGCTTAAAGAACAGCACAAACTCCACAGACACCAGTCTGCTGGGACCTGATGACCAGCAGAGATCCCAGCGGGCAGCACCCCAGGCCCAGGGCAGTGATGGAAGACATCCTCAGACTCCAGAACATCCCCAGTTTTATCCTCACTCAGACGGCTAAGAGACGTCATACTAACGTTTCAGCTACGTATCCACAGTAACAGTAACTATTCATGCAAATTATGACATTATAGAATCATTTACAGTAGGAGATATCACGAGTCTTCCATCAATGTAAAAACATCAAAACATCTGCCCATCCACAGGAACGATTCCTGACAATTCCAGAGTTTTGAAACCACCTTCAACTTGATTTGATACCATTGAATACCTGAACGTAACAGTTTGGCACATAGATCTGAAGGCTCGGTGGGCTCAGACAGGAAGGCTGCTGCCAGACTTCTCTTAGCTGACAGAGATCAGAAGTAAATGAGACGCTCTCTAATGAAGCTGCAGCTGTTGCTAACCCTGCTCTTTACAGCCGTGTAATAGCTGTAAAGAGCAGTAAAGGCTGACAGATAATGCCAGCGGGAGCACAAAGAGAAACCACTGGAACATCCAGGTTAGAGGAAAGGCTATTGGCGCTAATGCAGTCCTACGCTGAGGACATGCATGAAATATAACCACTATGAAGATACAAACCTGACAGATTAGCTTGATTGCTTACTTCTAGATATTTGTTTATTTTTTATGTTGCACATCACAGCTAATATCTACTTTCTAAAATGTCCGATTACTCTCAGAATGGTGCAAAGGCCTGTCACTCACAGCTTTAGAGGTGATGAAATCTACGGATTCCTAAAAGCTGATGAGGTCAGCTGATAAGGAGCTGGACAGTCCAGGACTGGTCAGTCACAGTCCAGTGGAGCTGCAGATCACCGGCCTGGACAATAAACCAGCAGCAGGAAGAGAAAAGACCCTATGGAGCGGCTGGATTCAGACTGGGAAGGACTTTCCACTTATCAGGTGAGTTTTTTCTCCTTCCTTGATTATTCCCACTTACACACACCTGTGAGTTAACCACCAGAACAACCATCAATGCTTTCTCCAAAACACAATACAGGGACCTTAAAACTGAGACAATTCTAGCAAAAAATCTCTGAACTTCTGTGTTATATTCACTGTGGACTGCAGAGCAAAGCACGCAGTGGCGGCCGGCCCATAGGGGGCGCTGGGGCGCCGCCCCCCCTAGATGTGGAGGGGGAAAGTTATAATATATATATTTATTTTTAAAGTATTATCAATGTCAGTTTTACTTAACAATATGTGGCTACATGTAATATGAATTATTAAAACAACACTTCCACCAACTGACTCTCATTCAACGGTGCATTTCCACCCACAGAACGTATCGTTTCTCTTCTGGGGCGCTAGCCCCAGCGCCCCAGAGGTGCAGCGAAATAACCAATTGAAAAATGTTACTAGGGAAAATTAATAAATATTTGGCCAATCAGCATCGCCGAAATTATTGGCTTTGGGGCGCTTGGAGCTGGCGCCCCAAAGCCATAGACGTGTAGCTATTGGTCAGTCAGGCAGTGACGTAGAGATGACGGCGACGGCGACAGTTGAAGAGCTGCTTTCACATAATTCAGTGAGATCTTTACTGAGATCTCCTTACGTGAGAAGGACAATGGTGGAAAAATTAAACGTAAAGAAGCTGGGACCTGACAAGTCCGAAATAAATTTAACGCAGAGAACCAATGAAAAAGCTAAGTCCTCCAGTCGGCGTTTGAGCAGGAGCTGGTTCCAGCGTGAGTCCTGGCTGACTGCCGGTGGGACGGCCAACGCAGTTATGTTTTTCCCGCATCCTTTTTAAAAGTGACCGGAGTGATTTGACGTGGACACAGTCTGGACAGACAGACTTAAAACACCTCTCTGAACAACTAAGAAACATGAAATATCACGAGGTTATATGGAAAACTGTGTTAAGCTAACCGTGTTAAACTAACCACCTGTGTGCCTACTTTGTGTGTTTGGTGAAAAATAGTAAAATTGAGTGTTGTATTTCATACTGTTCCCTTCCAAAATAATACCTAATATAGCTTCAAATGGTTAACTGTATATGTAAACTGCTGATTCTGATAAGGGAATTAAATCATTATTGTGGAATTGTACTAATTTTACGACTTTTAACTTGAATGCATGTACTGGGTTAGGCAGGGAAATATATTGGCACACCAGCCCCACCAAGATTTTTTTTCAACAGCCGCCACTGAAAGCACGTGTGGTCAGCAATAAGATCCCAGAATGGACACGAGAGGTGCCATCATTCTAGTTCAGTCTGATCTAATGCACTTTCCCCCTATAATCAACTAAAGCATCCTGAGACAAAAATCTATTTACATTTGTACTTAAAGTACTACTCTATTAATCATAAAATTAGATTAAGAAAAATATCCAGAACTGCATTTTGATGTCATAGATTCAGAAAACCAAACACAACTCAGGACCAGTCACAAAAGAAACATTTAAAATAGATGTTTTTACAAATAAGTTAAAAGAAATAAATGAAAATGACCAGAGATTCCAGTAGGAGGGGAAGTGAAGTATAAGGGGTGCAGGATGAGCCCCCCCACCTCTAAATAATCCTTTAAACAAACCCATATGTAAAACCTGCCAGAAGACAAAGGGTTAAGCAGAACAAGAGCTGCAAGGGGACCTGGTCCTGGTCCTGATCCTGGACCTGATCCTGGACCTGGTCCTGGACCTGGTCCTGGACCTGGTCCTGGACCTGGTCCTGGTCCAGAGTCCTCCAGGTCCAGTGACCCACAGAGCGGTCAGAGCTCTCACACAAAGACACAAAGGATGGCGGATCACAGGTAGCCCCCCCCCCCCCAGCAGACAATGCGGGGGGGGCATTCTCCAACCAGCCCCCTTTAACCCGGGGACTTCACAATAATTCCGGGGTCCTGGGGGGTCCCCCCCCCCCTAGTCCTGCGGCTCACAAAGACGCGCGCGCGTCCTTAAAGGCGCGTGCATGCCGTTTGGCTTCGGTCGCGGAACGGTCGGCTGATGACAGTTATGGGGAGAATACGGAGGACAAAGCTGCGGGGGAAGGGGGGCGTTCTGGAAGCCCCCCGCGCGCCGGCCGGAAGGCGTCCGCGCGCCGGCCGCGGGGCGCGTGCGCGCGCGGGGCCTTACTCACCTCCAGCAGCAGCAGAAGGGTCCAGAAGGTCCAGCAGGTCCAGGAGGTCCAGGAGGTCCAGACGGTCCGGGCGGCGGCCGCCGGGTTCCGCATGTCGCGCGCGGCCGGAGGACGAGCTGAGCACGCGCTGCTTCCTCCCCGTTACGCCGCTCTCATCCCGCGGGCGCGCGCTCCGCCGGACGCGAGCGCGAGCGCGGAACCCGTGACGTGACAGGAGGGACGCGCGAGACCTGAGGGCCGCTGACACGGTCCGCGCGCGGGGATGAGTGGCGCGTGAGGCTGCCGGAGCCGGGGATGCGCCTCCCTCCCCCCCCCCCCCCCCCCCCCCTAGCCCACAGCTATATTTAGACACGCGCACACACGCGCACAGAGGCCCTTTTGACACCACTTTAGCGACTTGCGCGCATTCATTTTTCAGCAGTTTGCGTAACCCGGACGCGCGAGGACCCGCACGCACGCCCGTCCCGTGCTTTTCTGTTTGGACCAGGCCTGCTCCTGGAGCTGTGGGGGGCGGAACTAAGCCTCCCTGTAGGGGGCGCCAGACCAGCCAGTAGCCCCTCCTGGATCCGGATCTGGGTCTGGTCTGGATCCGGATCTGGTTCAGGGGACAAGCTGAGTCCCAAGTTACCTAATGTTTCCACTCAGTTCGACCGGAAGTGCTCTCTAAACACAGCCCATTCTCCACTGGTCAGTTAGTTGTTGTCCGGCATTATTATCTGATATGCCTCATTTTCTTTTTTCTAGTGATTTTCATCCTTGAAGGTGATTTCAGCTCCCTGCTTGCCTGTTTCTCTGCTAGCATCTGTGCTTGCAGAGGTCTGGATGTAATTCACTGACCAGTCAGAAAAATGACTTCCTCGTGCCCTTTCCTTTTCCTTTGGAAAATATTAATGAAATGTGATAATTTGGCAGGAGTGTGAATAAGATGGCCGTGCTGTACTGAGACTCCAACCACATTAAAGCCCAGCTATGATTTGAATCTCTGAGGGAACATTTAAACAAATATTTTAGATACAAACGTATGCAATCTCATTAGATGCTCACACACAGATCAGATCATGAGAAAGGCCCCCAAAAGTGTAAGATGTGCTTTAGCCTGTGTGCACGTCATCCCTTCCCCACATTTCTCCGACAGCCTTTGGTGGAGCTGCTTTTGGACACCGTCGTCCCCTCCACCACATCTAGGAATTAGTGGGAGTGGAAAAAAACGGATGAACCATGAAGCTTCCCCTGCTCTCCATAGAGCAGAAAACGAGCCCATCACAACTAAAACTAAGTGATGTTAGACATGTAGTCCTGAACGGTGGAAGAAAGTGTTGGTCTGGTGTGAGTTTGCTCTTTCAGTTGAACAGACGTCACACGCACAATCTCCAGCTCCAACTAAACATGTTTAACAAACAGATATCTGAGCTGTGAATGCATTCAAATGTCCTCATTTTCTGTGTAAAGTTTTCTAAACTCATTTTCTGTCTTTCTCTCTGTTCCTGATACAGACAAACGTCCTCATTCAACATGCTGGAAAGATAAAATGCTAATTATGAAATCCGTTTAAAGGGCCAGGATTGCATTTGGTACATGAGCGGCTGCTTCCATCTGGTGGAAAATGGAGGTAGTTCTGTTTCCTGTGACGCTTTACAGCCAATTTAAGCAGAACCTGACCATTCTGTGGAAATCTGGGTCACGTGATTGGCTCAGGAGCTGTGGACGTATTGGACTGGTGTCTACATTTATGACTACATTTCTCTGTCTCACATATCAGGACGTGTGGGGGACTGAAACTGACAGGAGAAGACGTAAGAGAAGAAATAACAAATGAACCACTTAATAAATACTACATCTATAATGTAGCAGTAAAGTAAAGGAATTGGCCATGTTTATATATTTGCAGAAAAACTCTAGACCATGAGATGTAGAATAAACTAGAAACTGGGGAGCAGCAGGTGCTCGTGTCCCTCCTGTTGGTTTGAGGCCTACAGATGAAGTTCAGGGGCTCATAGGAGCCATTTCTGTGATTAACCCACCATCCATTTGTTAATTATGAGGAGTAAGAACAAGTGGAAAGGTGAAAAAATAAACTTCTAAATTTCTATAAAAAGGAACCTACTGGAGTTTGTTTGTTGGATGATAAAGTATTCTGCATACATTACGGGTTTTTATGGTTTTTGGACAGCAGATGGCAGCAGTGAACTTCTTTTCATGTTTCCTGGAGAGGAGTAAAATGACATTTGTGGACAGTTGGGGCTTTTGGTTGCTCTACACGACACATTGGTGATCATCCACATCCAGATCCTATAAACATCCTATAAACTCTGAGTGCACGTGTACAATAACAGAGCCCTAAACCCTGAATGTGGAGGCTTTTGAACACGGCTCTTGTTTTAGCTGGGAAAAAGGAAAGGCAGGACTGAACTTTTTTTTTTCATTCTGGCTTTTATTTTGGGTAATCCATCCAAATTTAATAGAGAAATGGACACACATTTCTTGATATTACTCTTTTTAACTGGACGTCTCTCAGGAGGAGGTTCTCCTGATCATGGCTGATATTGAAATCATAAGATATTTTTGGCTGATAGGTTAAAATAAGTTTTTACAACTGAGCTCTGGGGTTGTTTGAATGAACTTGTATTTCTCTGCAGGTGTCCTGAAGTGCTGAGGCCCAGCTGCCTTTCCTCCAGGACAGATCACAATAACCACAACGGTCCAGAGCTTTGCAGAGTTTATTTACAGGAGGGTCATGGACAGTTCTGTTCTAACAGGTCTAACAGGCTGGACTCAGAATGGTCAGCTAGTGACCGCCTCACTGGCCTCCTGCCTCAGACAGAGAGGACCACGTGACATGGCTCTTAAACTTTACTCTTAAATATCAATGGAGGTACACAAAATGAACAGGAAGTTAAACAAAGGCTACTAAATGACAACCATGGCCAAAATAATGAGACCAAACCCCCAAAAAAGAGAGAAGTCATGTTCAGAGAAAAGCAGCAGAAGTTAAAATGAATCATCATAAGACAGAAAAATGCTGACCACTGAAGGGTCCACTGCACCTTTCACTTTTCATCCATCTAATTTTTATTTTTATTTTCTTGTTTTTCTTCTTTAAATTCTCTGTGAAGCACTTTGAATTGTCTTTTACACAAACTGTGCTATTCAAATAAACTTGGCTTGCTTTGAAGGACGCTTTAGGGCTCATAAGAAGGTGTCAGCACGTCCGTCTGGCTGCAGCCTGCAGACGGATATCCAACTCCGCCCACATCCAAGGCGGCCATTTTGATTAGGTCACCAATAGGAAGATCCCAGGCTATTTTTTCTGTGACGTTCGCTGACGTGACAGTAGTCATTAAAATCATTTCCAAAATACAAAAATGTTGCAGTAAAGATGCTTTATGGTAATTGCTTTATTGCAATACAGACATTAATTTTAAATTAGTGAAATGAATCTTGCAAACACTGAATTAAACTCCATACATAATATTATGGTAAAATAGTGGATGTTAAATAGGTTTGTACAATAAGTCCAAACAAGTTTACCCAAAAAGTATTTATTTATCACAATTATGAAGGGTGGAGGGTTAGGGTTAGGTTTAGGGTTTGGATTTGGGTAAGGGAAGGGGTTAAGGTCAGGGTTAGGGTTAGGACATCGTTTGTCTTCTGACTTCATATAGACAGTAAAGTTTCGTTTCCACCTGAGAAAGCTGATCAAAGCTAATCAAAATGGCCGACTTGGATGTGGGAGGAGTTGGACATCCAACCGAGGCTCCTACAGGCTGCAGCCAGAGGCAAACCTGACCCAAACTCACGCTGACCCAGAGCCGCACCACTAAGGGGGGGTGGGAACTCTGAGTGAGGACATCAGAGGCAGCAGCTTCCTGCTCTAAGCTACCACAACATACAGGCATCCAATCAAAAGAGCTCCCGTCCAGCGACCCCTGACCCCTGTCCTGGGTCTGCTGGACCCCCTCTGTGGGGTCTGCACAGACCCAGAACAGGGGGCGGTTCTCCTCCGGGCTAAAGCTAGCTCACCCACATTCGTTTTTACCTGTGGAGGCCCCAGGACCGCCCACAGCCCAGGAGGGGGTGGGGGTGGGGGGGGCTTTTAGCTGTGAACAGAGAGGTCCGGCAGCAGAGCGCTCGCTGACCGTTTGCTTCAGGCATCAGGAATGCTGTGGCATGTTGTTAAAAACAAAACTGGACAAAACGAGAAAGGTTTTAGGCTATTTGATTCTGGATTTGGAGCCAGAATTAATACAAGTTCTTCTTCTCAGCACGTCTCCACTCTTAGTTACTGCTACTGGAGGTTTTTCTCAAACTATTGAGATTTTTCTTTTGATTTAAAACACAAAATCTGGTCTTACTACAATAAA